GTGGTGCAGCGCAAGCTACCCATGGTCCCTCGGTAGGCGCAGGCGTCCTGTGGCTGACCACAGTGACAGGCAAATCAGAAACTGGATGCCGCCAACCAACCATATGGCTATACTACCGATATTTTAAGTGATACGGCTGAACCCTTTGATTTGGATTGTATTTGCATTTGCCATCCTGTGGGTGTAGTAAAGCTACACATTTTTGGTTTCAGAAGGTTTTGAATACAAATCGGTTCTGTAGATTTTTATTGTAGCAACATTACGCTCTTGACGCAAGAGGTTCTCCACGCCAGGTGAATCGGTACGTAATTGGCTTTTTCCAATCATACACTATTAAACGTCGTGTTCACTCGAAGGAAACTAGACCATGATAATTTTTGTCAATCGGTTCGAGGACAGCCACATAGGAGAAATCTAAGTGTGTCGGTGAGAGTAGAAGGTTGAAGATAGGTGCAGACACCTGGATATATTGTAGTAGGCATTGCGACATGCTGAAGCAAAAGAAAAACAAGTACAGTATCGGGAAAAAGAACACCAGAGGAATCCGGAGAGTTTGAATTGAGAGATACTTCCCGGAGAAAATATCAGAAAAAATAGTAACGAGCAAGCTTGTTTTCAGGGTTTCATCATCAGGCTAATGTGACCACAAAAAGGCAGGCTTGTATGGACACAAGAAGTGTAAACGCGATGAGTCACTGAAGCAGTTACCTAATCGTGATTGACTACGTGATTGGTCTGGTTGATGTGAAGTCGGGTGGAGTGGCATGACCGTCATCGTTGGTCATGCTGGCCTGTGGCCAAAGTAAGTTGAGAATGTGGACGAATTTTTTCTGTGCTCAGAAGCCCGGGTTATGGGGCCGAATTGCGATCGCCTTTGCTGTCCACAGCATGCGACATCTGACCGGTCGTGTGTAACCTCCGGGTACAGAGTAGACTGGTATGAATGCGTCATGCGAATTGATTTGGTGATCGGAGTCTACTAGATGCGACAACACTGCATTCACAACATTCGACCTTAAGTGCTGTAGAGTCAGGCTGGGCAATTCTCTTGAGCTCTAACGGACAGTTGACTGATCGTTTTCCTAGTATACCTTGCTCGACAGGAGCAAGATACACACTGGAGGAAATCTGTGACCGAGATATCCTATCCTTGAGTTGCTCGCGCAAAAGCAGTGTTGAGGTGAGGCTTCCACGAAGGTCGGCAGCAAAATATGTTTTCTGTGTTGTTATGGAAAGCAGACGGGTGGTCCGTTTTGCTATCGCGTCACGCGTAAACGATAACGATAAGTAAAGTAGCCGCTTCTTCGCGAAAACGTGTCTTGACTTTAGCATGTCTCTGGGTGAATTTTTCGGGGTATCTACTACGCTCGAACACGCTATGTATAAAGCTCAGTTTATCTGAAAGCGTATCCTCTGTACATATCCTCCTCGCTCTGTCCGGTAGGCAACGGACGAGATTTCGGTTCTGACTTATCGGAACAAAACTTGCGAAGTGGATTTACAGACCATTACAAGTCTCCTATCCTGGCACCTTCTTCGGCATTGACCGATCTGATACCCTATTGATTTAGACATCTAAAAATGCCGAACAGTCGTTACGTTCTAACTCGATAGTAAAGGTTGAATTTTGTAGAAAGTAGAAGTCACGATTAAAATTCACGCACAATAATATGCCTTCAATCCCCGTCAAGGCATATTATTGTGCGTGAATTTTAATCGTGACTTCTACTTTCCACAAACTTTACCCTACTCACAAACTTCCAACAGTAAAGGTTGAATTATTATGTGCAGAGTTGAAGTGGGCCAATAGACCATCGACGCACACTCAGTGAGTCACCGCGTCTGAACATCTTGTGTCCGGTTCAGTCTGTTTGTTGTGGTTGAAGTAGTCTGATGAGGAAATCTTGAAAACTAGCTTGTTCACTACGTTCTGTTCCTGAATTCGGGGAGGTTGCAATGGAGCGAACCCCAATCAATAGCAAAAGTATTCAAGTTTCATATTATCAGACAGTCCCTACCTCCACCGGGCATCTTTATCGAGTTCAGCAGGCAAAATCCGGATCCCATCGCTCGCAACATTCGATTAATGTACTGCAGCTTCCATAGACCAAACACAGCACGCCTGCTACTAAGGAGGGACCATGGACGGCTTGCGCTACACCACCAACACGCTTCATATCCGGTGAAAACCTAAAGGAATAAAACCTGGAGGCATGTGGATAGGAGTCATGGTTAATCAAAGGAGTCGGCTCACACTCCTTCAACATACACAGCAGCAGCATTCCTGCCCAACTGGGGAATCAAGTGTACGAAACGAACACAAGGCGGTGGCTGGCCGTAGCCCCATAGGAACAAGCCATGAGATCTGCACCCGCTATGAACCAGACGCCACAAAAGCTAAGAAGTAACATCCTTGTCACAGACTGCTTTCACTGTCTTGAGGTCCTCTTTCCAGGTACAGAATCACGCCACCGCCATATGTTGCATCAGAGCGATTATCCCCAGAGAAGTGATACCAAGGAATATGAACCGCTGAATATTGGATGCTCGAAGATAACAAGGTACCTGTGAAAGCCATAGGATTGAGATGATTCTCCGACGCAATGAATTGAAGTTTTTCTAGTCCGTTTCTTATGCTACGCGCATTAGCAGATATTACGCGTAGCCCATTCTTTAATCCTGCTGCTTTCTTTATTGCGCAAAAATCCTCAATGTGGGGATTGAATACATCTTTGATCGGAGTCTCCGTAGCTCAACAACGGTACTCTTTATACGGACGCAGTACATGGAACGATTCTCCCTTGAGACGTGATGTACGTCTGAGAATGCGACGGCATTAGTCTTCCTTCTGGTAAATAAGTTTGAGGCGAATTTTAGAGCAGTCTTCTTGCTTCCTGACTAGACGAAAGGCAGGAACAGGATGGATCCTCATCTCGTCTTCAGCAAAGAGCTGGGTCATTTGTTCTAGAAACCCCTAGTCGTCCAGTGTCCTTGTTGAACTCAGGAGCGTTCATAGTGATGAGGCATTGATCACGAGTTTTGTTTTCATGAACCGCAGGTTTAGTATGCGTGCTGTCCTTAATCAACTTTACCAGTTGGCAATTTGTCGACAACTTGCTTGAGTTTGGAATCAAGATGGGTTGGCTTTAGTTGGAGATCAGCAACGCTCCTGACTCTTTTTCCCCAAACAAATGCGCTTCGGCGGGGGCTACGCCATCGTTCATAACTGCTGTATACTTCTTGAATCTAAGATCGGTGCTGTTCCCAGGTAGGGCTAGCGGCTCGAAAACGGTGCAGATAAGACGTGGCTTCACTTACCAACAGGACATGATAATAAAACGAAAAGTATTTCGTTGAACTCACTAAAGCGTTAGCATTGAGACATATGTACGAAAAGCCGAGATATTCACGTGATAATAAGCATATACCCACTTGGTTATCGTGGATTTTTGATTGTGTGCGGTCACGAAGAAAGTGATAACCTCTAAGGTGGAGCGCTGGAGATATTCGCAAAGTTCCGGCGTGAAGTCGCAGCAAATAATATGCAGTCACTCATCACAGAACGTGGATTGCACAGCTTTTGAGCGTGAAATGACGCTTTTATCGCTACGTACTAAGCTAAATTCCGCAGATTCTAACTGAAAATAGCATGTAAATGTTGATGCACAAAGTTCCCATGGAAACTACTTAACGGATTGTTTCAAAAAATAAAGTGCTCCACTAAACAAGCACGTCAAGCAGTGATAACGTTGATCTGTAGCATTGGATCAAGGTAGTAGTTTAGTCGCACGACGATTCCCTCATTCGGTCTACTTGATTTCACCCAAGCAATCTAAGGTGTCTGTCTGTATTCGCTTGCTTGAACAGCTCGGTGCAAATTCGTAAAATCCTCGAATTTCAGTTGTGCTCGCCTTTTTCTGCGTTGTGGTCAATTCCAGTAGGATCCCACAGCTAGTCTGGTGTATCAGTGTTGTCATAAGCACAGTTTAGACACCCGACGATTCGTATTCACCGGCGATTCTTATACACCAGCATAGTTGTGGTGACTGGTTGCCTTCGCATTCCGCTATTTAGGTTATCCTCAGGTAGTCACCACGCTCGCAATCAGCAGTCAAGTAGAAGCGAAAAAGCAGTCTGCTATGTACTGACGGTTGAATTGCGAAAATAACGCAATTAGTCGGAACCGGCCCAAACAGACTCTAAAGACTGGATGAGCAACCTAAAGCGTCGACCGTAGCGACATAACTAAAATCCCGGTGCTTAATGAGTGAATGACAATTTAACCCATCTGATACGAGAACCGCAATCGACCGAATAATCCTAAACCTACCGCAAGATTTTGTTGAGAAATTTCGAGAGGGATGACAGTAAGGGTGTGAAACTGCGTAGCCTTGTCAAGTGATAGAGAATACCGTGCCGGGCTTCTGAATAAAAGAAAATGATGTGTAAGTGAATTACAACTGCCACGGGGTGCAATGTGGATGGTAAAATTCGTTTATATCAACGAACTAGAGTAGATGGATTAAAATATCACACAAAAACGCGAGGAAGTTGCTCAGGTGAGTTTGCATGACCAAAAGAGTACGTCAATCCCCTCCGGCTCATTAATCACACCCAAGCATCGGCGACTGTGAATACTGGTTTTGTTGAGATGTTCCACCGTCGCAAAACCGGTAACAGGCGAAACTTTGCACAATAGTTAAGCTGGAACGCCGATCAGTAAACGCGTGCATTCAGGCCCCCAAAACGGTGTTACCGAAATAAAGAAGCTGAAATGGGCTTACAAGCGAGAGGTTCAGTCAAATGTAAACGGATTACATGTAACTCCGCTGAAAAAGATAGGATGAAATATCAAATATCGAAACATAAAGAGAAAATAAAGTGGCGACATACAGCAAAAGTCTATCGCATAATTGGGCTGAAAATCCAAAGTAAGCATAACAGCGAGCATCGGAAGAATATAGTAGACTGAAATGCGAGTGTCATGTCTCTCATGTTCCTCACTCTGACCCATGGAGGGATTTTGTGGTGAACTTTGCAGGGACGGGAGATACTCCAACACGTTTGACCTGTAGCCACACACGTATAAGGCCGGAAAACACCATGGCACTAAGGAGCGATGAGACTGCGGACACGGCATGATCTGGTACCCACCTTGATAGCTGAAGTTCGAACCATTGGGACTGTAATCCAAGAACTGCCGTGATACTGGTCATGATAAGCAAACAAACAGCCGAGTACATATGGGACAAGCGAGCTTTGCAAAATGAGAGCCAGCGGCGAATAGGCCACAGGCTCCAATCTAACCAAAATCCGGCAAGTATTTGGGTAGTTGCAAAAAGGACAGAAAGGAGACCGCAACATCCATGCCAGGTGGTAAAATGTGGTTTACCGCCTTGAATCTTGTTCAAATAAACCGCGGCAACAGCAGTGTAGAGAAGCACAATCGAGATGCTCTGGACAATCCAATGCCATTTTGTCTGAAACAACGATAACAATCGCAACGTTATCGAAACGAAAACAATATGAATATGTAGACTAGAGCAAACGCGTAACTCAACTTACCCGCATGTACGTAGAACGCATATTAAAAAATGGAACACGCTTATCCATTAAACGGACACCCAGGGGCATTATAATTAGGACACTTACAGAAGCAAAGAGTGGGTGAATGGTGAAATAGTTTTCCGGTGGAGAAGAGAACAAGACAACAAAAGCCGTTGCGGAGAGTGAAAGAACGTCGAGTAGCCACAGCACATATTCGTGAATCATGGCTGGAAAAAATGGGTATTATGTAAAGTTCAGTGAGAGCAACGAGGACACACATGAAACCCGAGATAAAATAGACAGTGTTTAGCTTTAAATCTGTCCATTTGTATTCTATGGTTAAGTTTATGAAGAAAAGAAAATAGTGCAACTAACAGATATTACGCGGATAGACGATACTTCAAGTCACCCAGAGTAGCGTATTTGACAAGGAGGATATTCAAACTGACATGTTGTTTTAAATCGCATATTCAGGATGGTCAGCATTGGGATTACTTACCAAGCAACTGTACTCGGCTACAGTGAGGCAGTAAAAGTCATCACCAATACGCCGTCACACGGTATCGACGCTTCGGTGTCACACGACCAATCACTGGTCGCGCGTTGGCTGATTGCGTCAGGAGATCGCTAGTATCTATGCGGGTCCGCACCGTTGACTTCCGGATTACAAGGCAAGCGTGCAATTCTTTCGGCCGCCGGCCGACACTTGGAATAACAGCGTCAGCTGTCAATAATAAACAAGGTGAACGAGTCAAATATTAAATGGAATCACCTACGATGTGCAATAAAGAAGACCACGATATCAACTTGTTCATCCAGATTGCGCCATATGGAGAGTCAGCATGCTGCTTACATTCTCGTTAGTTTGACTGCGGCACTAAAGTAGAGTATCCGGCAAAACACTGAGATGACATATGACAATGATTGACCGGGCGCATTGGTGGATGGTGAAGGCAAACAAAATGCAGGTAATTAATACTATTGTGATTAGCTGAACACGGCTCCAAGTCAGTCATAGCTCAGGTGGTGAAACAGCAGCACGAGAACTAAGAAACGGTTCAGTTTCAGGATTGTCGAAAAATAGGTTGTGCTATAATTTTAGGAAATAGCGTAGATCGCCTCCTGTCTCTGTTCTTTCTTATTCATCTGGGCATTAATTGAATGACGAATTCTAGCTCTCTAACTTTGAATAGATCTTGATTCAAATGCATTCGCCAAAATGCAACACGGGATCATCGTTGCTGAATGACGGTAGAGTTTTATATACATGCACCATCGACATCCGTCGTGACGCAACTGGAAAGTAGGTCGAGTCCAACAGCTTACGTCCGTTTCTCCCATCCACTGAGGCATACCAATTTGTGCCCTAAAGTCGTTTTGATCTCTACTGATAGCACGATGTTCAATGGTTAGTATAAACAGTCGTAGAGTTATTCAGTGTTCTGACACTACGCGTGTAACATTTTGTGAGCCTCAACGCATTCCCACAGTGTTGCACTCAGGCTTTCGAGTTAGATGCTTTGGTTGAGGACGCTGATCGTTTCCCCACTTAGAATCTGGGGATCTGGCAGCATCCCCACCCACGCTCAACTTGCTTTTCAAATTTCAGCCATGTCGGATATATATATATATATATATATATATATATATATATATTCTATATCAGCCGTGACGCAGTTCCAGTAGGGCTGCTGCCGTAAAGAGCAATGTAGATAAGCAAAAAAGCTCCTAGTGAAACCATTCCTTCCCATGTGTTTAGCTTACACAAGCTTGCCTTGTAATCTGACGGGGCGGGTTCGAGCCTGTGTAGAGATAGGGCGACCCTCGCAATACCCTTAGCCCACGTGCAACTGGTGGTTGTTGTGTGGCAGCGAAGCGTCGGTACTGCGTACCAGCGTACTGTTGATGCCTTTTTCTCGATTTTCATCAATAGCCACAACACTACGGAGGTTTTACGAGCTCCACTCGTGACACCACAGTGCCAATTATTCTCCCACCAGCAGATCAGGCTGCCAAGTTTCCTTGGCAGCGCTCAACACTAGTGTGCAAAAACAGAGAAGTCAACCGGCTGCATCTGGTCATGCATTGAATACCACTGACGTTGAAGCGTTTCATGACCTTCTCGTGAGTATGAAAAACACTGTACCTACCTTATCCTTTCAAACAGCAGTTCGTGAAAAGAAATGTAATCCAAAAACCCAAGTGTGTTTGATCCAGTTAACAAAGGTCAGCGTTGCCTGGATAACAATGAATGGAGTGGATGGGATAGAAGGTAAACAGGATACAAAAAAGCGTGTTGGACAAAGTGGGGACATTACCCGTGGGACTATTGACTGCGACATGTAACGACTGAACACAGAAAGAACACTGATTCAGTAACTGGGTACCCAGCCAACTGTGTGGCGAAGTACTGAAACAGGAACTACAAAGACACGTCTCAGCCTGAACAAATTCCTGGTAAATTTCTACACACATTTGCACTACGTCATTTACTTGTTTCTTCCAATTAGATGAGATGAAAGCACATAAAGCACCAACGGATATGCGGAGGAAGATATGATCAAAGCAAACACTTAACTGCGACGCAGAGAAGTTTCATTTCTAACATCAACTGGTGGACTTGAGTAATGATCACTAGGCGCATCCACAAGTGTGGACAATACTCCGCAAGCAACAGAGAAGAAAAGAAAACCAGTTTCTTACTTATTAAGGGGAAGTACCAGTGCATCTGATCCGCACAGTAACGTCGGTTCAATTGCAGCATTGCGCACTTTTGATTGACGACAGACTAACATCTCATCATCTGGTAAGATGAGACTCTGAAATTAAAGATAAGATTTGATTTTCGGGTTTTGGAGCATCCGCCGTGTGTCCTGGACACGCAATGGCAATTGTGGCCTGGGTTGACTTTAAAGCCAGTCTCTGATAATACGACCACTGGGACCGTCATCAAACCATAACCTCAGTAAGTTGATCACCAGAGGTAAAACAGCTATCAAGATGAGTGTGCATATTGAACACTTCCAGCAACTGGTCGGACAGGCAGAACCGGCGACATGTTAACCAAGTCCTGCAGCAGCACTAAGCACAATAAAAGTAGGAAGAATGTAGCACACTGCGTTAGGAGCGCTTGTAAAGTCGATAAGGCGACTACAGGAAAAGTTGACCGAGTACACCATATCGGTCAGGTCTTTAGTCGGTAAAACTTCCACATAAGGGGACGCAGACAAGGTGTTCAGGCAAGGGCACTTCGACCATAAAAGTAAAGAGAAAACAGCATAGCACAATGTGAAAAACTCCACTTATCTATGGGAAATCAGGAGACAACTTCCATAGACCTAGACCCCGTGGGGGCTTGGAAACAGAAAAGTCCCCTTAGCATGAACTGAAGAAAGCCTACAAATAAACAAAAACCAGTGTTCAATCAAGAGCTTGTAGTAGCAGCTTCCAAATCAGATCAAAAAACACTACTCATGAGTATATTACAATATTCGCCGTGGCAGTTTCTAGATGCTATGTCCTACATATCTACCGGCAGTGGAAGTCGTCTTCCGGGGCCAACCCTGTGCTGTGCAACATCCGCAACCTGCACGGCAGTGAAGAATAAGACGTGTTATATCGCACTTATGTTAAGAATCATGACGACCCACCGCTGTCCCCCATGGCGCAGTGGCATAAGCTGCAGAGTGGCGGCGTAAGCTGTTGGTGGTCATGAGTTCCAATCTTGATGGATCCGATGAATGCGCACTACTGACAGTGCAAAGCAGGTCGAAAGTGCAGTCTAGTGCTTTACAGGACATGTAGAGAAAGCTTCTGCGATTAGCTCACCATTAATGGCATCAAGTATCCCCCGCTCATTAATACATGAAAACCAGTATGTTGGGTAGTCTGCAGGCGTGCCATTGTTTCAGCACTTGACGAGGTGTGGTTTGGTGATCAATCCTAAAGTAGCACAGAAACAAGCGACGTAAATGTAGCTGTTCTTACGACAACAAGCGAGTTGATGTAGAATAATCCAGGTGAGAAATTTGGAGATAGTGACAATACCTCGATGACTGACGAGCGAGACACTGGTTTTAAGGATGGCAGATGTCTTTACAGTACATAATGCGATCAGACGAGCCCCGAGTCTCCCAGACCGATCAGTGGCGATGAAGATCGGCAGGTCCAGGCGCCTAATTCTGTTTCTAAGGAGCGAGTTCATGCCGAAGTGGGGGCAACATCATTGTTGCGGTCCGGTTCAGGCGACTTGGAAAATGAATGTCAGTGTCTGCAAAACTACACTTCAAATGTCCAGACAAAAACTTAGTCGATGTGCCTGAAGATGGATTAATTGCCCATTTGTCTCAGATATTATCTCATTAATAGTGTTTACTCAAACTGCTGCCATGGAGGACCAGGCGCAATAAACTGCCTTTCCTAAGCTAACCTTTTTTCATTTAACTAGCCGTCGATAACAACCAACACTCCTGACCAATAACAAGGCCCCTGGCAAGACCTCACTTCAGTGTCACGGATGCTCTGAAGCTGAATACCCTACGAAATCGGCTTAGGTGAATCGGATAAACCAACCGACACTTGACAAACCCATATGCAATTAAGATGTCTCAGTGATAAGACAAAAAACTTCAGAAACATAGATGACATGGTTGACTGCATCCGGTTCCGGATTTGCTTGTAACTGCGGCATCCATAGGACAGCCATAGGACGACTGCGTCTACAGAGGGACCATGGGTGGCTTGCGTTGCACCACCCACAGCTCCATCCACAAGCCCCGTCTCCAGTGCAAACCCGAAGGAATAAGACCAGGGAGCATGTGGATGGGAGGCACGTTTCATCAACCGAACCGACCAACACGTCTCTACAGGCAAACACAAGCTCACGGTATTTGCGGAATAAAGCGCACACGAGGCGGAGGCTGGGCCGTAATAAGCTCCACACTAGATAGACGACATACTTAGTTGGCAGCATCCAGTTCCGGGGTCTCCACGGGGACAGCCACACGACGCCCGCATCTACAGAGGGACGACGGATGGCAAAAGCAAGCACGCTGTATTTGGGGAATCAAGCGCACACGAGGCAGTGGTTGGGCCGCAGTCCGCACAACACTGAGTGCATGAAACCCCTCTTCGAGTCTAGCACGGCCACGAGGACTGTGCATTCCGTCCCCTCCAGCAAAGACCAACCCTCTCCTAAAGTCAGTACAGACGAGGTGGTGGGTAAT